TACATAAATGAGTTAAATAAGTTACGTTAAGTTACATGTGTATTCCTGTTGTACGAAACCGTACAAGTAACGTTCGCCGATGAACCTTATCTTATTGCAATATTGTATACTTGCGTAGTAGCAAATTATAAAAAACTACCTGGTCGTTTCACACTTGGCCTTTCTGTCAGCATGGAGAATGATGTCGCTACGCACAAAGTTGTGTTTGGCGATGGGCATGAATGTGTCCCGTTCAAGATAGGAGAAGGCTACTCCGGAGCAAAACGCAACGTGAAGAAATGCTTCGTGTGCGTTAGTAATACGAACAGGGGAACTACCAAGTACTGTTCTATTTGTCTAGTGCCGGTCTGTGCCACAAACAGGGAACCCACAGCCCTCACGTGCTGGCAGCTGCTGCACACACCTGAAGTTCAGCAGCGATTGTGGCAGAAAGCCGTAAATCGCAACATCCGGCAGGCAGCTGAGTCACCGTCGATGAAGCGAAAGCGCGTCTCGGCTTTGAAGAAGAAAGTCAAACTGCGAGCCACTAAGTACAAAGAAACCAAAAGTAAATGAATCTCCATAATGTATAATGTAGCTTGCTTACTTCCGGCACACATATCCACCGCACACAAACTACACTACAGAACTGCATTTTGCCAGCGCAACGACCCATTGTACTGCCTCGGATTCGCACTGCAAGTTATGGACATGGACGTTGTGAGCACTTCCAGGGAACACATACCCTGCACATATATACTACATTAAAGAACTACCTCTGGCCAGTTGAATGAGCCATTGCGGTGCCTCAGATTCACTCTACAGCCTGAGTTATGGACATGGACGTTCATTCCTATCGTATGCACGTTTATTCTACGGTATTCCTTGTCACCATCCGATTATTTATTACTAGTACCCCGGAATATGTTCAGCTGTAGTGTCGTACCAACAATTCAGATGTAATGCAATTCCCTTTAAGTACCTTGATGCGCATCCACCTCACTCGAGACTCTACCTCAACACATAAGTTGACAGGTGGCGTCTGTTCTGTGGTTTTCAGCAAAATTTATGTGGCAGGAATGTGAACTCTCCCACATGTTGCCGCCGAAGGGCTTGAACTCCTCGACGAGGTCCAGGAGCCGCGTCGTCTCCTCAGATGAGAAGTTCTTCGACTTGGTTCGTGGCTTCCGTGCGTTCATCAAATGGGATTGCTAGCAGGATGGTCGGGAACCAAAAAATGACTGGTCTCTACCGTCCTGCTGACTGTCCAAGTTGTTGGACGCAGAGAATCGAAACACGTGAAGAACTCCACGTTGCGCACCACTCGACACAAACACATACTTGGTAACGGTTGTGTCACCACATGTGTTTGCCTTGTGCGGTGTTTGTGTTTGCGTTTATGTGATTTTTGGGGGACCCCCATTTCTCAAGCAATGACATTCCCAGAAGACCACCCTGACCGGTCCAATGATCACCTCCGGGGTTTTGAAGAAATTGGCTGAGTTATTGTAGAGTGTAGGCGAGGTCGGGGCGAGTACCCATGGCGAGGTACATGAGACTGCCGACGACAGAATGATAGTTGTGAGTGGCCATGATGACTTTGTCCTCGGGGGAATCAGTTCCCTGCGAAGTAGATAGATCGACTCCTGGGCGAGATGGAGTGGTGGCAGGGTTGGCGTCCGTCATGCCAAAACGTTCAAGGATTGTTTCGGTGTAACGAGCTTGATGCAGGAAGACGGAGAGTTCGGCGCGATAACGGACGACTTGCCAGTCAATAATGTCGGAGACGGGGCCGAGGTCTTTCATGGAGAACCGTGCAGACAGAGCAGACTTCATGGTGTTGACGAGGTCGAGGGTCGGCGCGAAGATGAGGAGATCGTCGACGTAGAGGCTGATGATAATGAACGACGTGGATGTGGTTTTGGTGAAGACACAGCGGTCTTTGTGTAGACGGGTGAAGTGTTGAGACGCCATGAACTCGACGAAGGTGATATACCAGAGGTAGGGTGCTTGCTTTAGACCGTAGAGACTGCGTTTGAGAAGGAAGACGTAATCGCGGCGAGACGTAGGGTCGACGAGGTCACCGAGGGGTTGATCCATGTAAATGGGGCGATCGATGGCACCGTTGAGGAAAGCGGTGTCGACATCCATTTGATGGCATTCGAAATCGTAGACGGCCATGAGGGTAAACAGGTAGCGTAAGACCTCAAGACGAACAACAGGGGCAAAAATTTCATCGTAGTCAACGCCATGCTGTTGGAGGTAGCCTTTGACAATGAGACGGGCCTTGTAGGTGCTTTTGGGTTTGACGCGGAAGACCCATCGGAGGAGAGTGGGCGTGAAAGTGAGGAGCGTCGAGGAACGAGTTCATAGGTTTTGTTGGTTTGGAGGGAGTTGAATTCGGCTTGTGCTGCTGCGAGCCATTGGTCGCGATCGGGGCGGCGCATCGCTTCGTTCCAGGTCAAGGGATCACCAGTGGGAACTTTAGCCCCAAGGAGGCGTAGGTGAAGGTCGGAGGAAAGACGGATGGGTTTAGTGGAGTGAGCGTTCGAGTGGACGTCACAGTAACCGTCAACAAAAATGACGAAGTAGGAAGAGCCGCCAATGGACTGAACACGGCATGGGCCACATATGTCGGAGTGCACGAGAGTGAGGTAGGTGTTGGCGCGGAAGACGGCCTCAGAGGAGAAGGGTTTTCGACGCGACTTCGCGTACTCACAGACGTCGCAGTCGAAGGATTTGAAGTTCCGTGTGCGATAGCCGGAGATTTAGGGGTGGTCGGCAACGAGAGAGCGGAAGATGGCGGCACTGGAGTGGCCAAGGCGTTCGTGCCATCGTCGAAGAAGGGCATCGTTGGGCAGACGAGAGACGTCAACTAGGGTAAGGGCGCTGGGTAGTTGATGGAGAGCCGAGGATTTTGGAAAGTAGGGAGCCGTAGGAAGAGGGTGGTGGGGTAGAAGACGAGGCTGGAGTAATGAGGGGATAATGTTGGGAATATGATTCGTTGGTAGACGAATACAGCAGAATAGACGGAGGCATACATATTGGAGCGTAGCATAATACGCCAGGATAAAGCATGATGTGCAATTGATCAATTACAAGCGTGGACCGGGAGCGTCGTTCAGAATGCATTGAGGGCTTGGTGGTGAGAAGGGAAATGAACAGACGCCGTGAAGGCTGTGCTATGTAAGGACGGTGGGTGGGATGGTAGGGGTGGACTGACTGGGTTCGCCACGAGGAAGGCTTTGAAACCGTCAAGCATGGCCCGGGTTGTGAGAGTGTCACGAGGTGGGAGAGGGCAACCAGAGGGTACTTCGGTGGCCGAGAAGGAGTAGAGCCCCAAGATGTTCACAGCGGCACGAAAGTAGTAGGTTTTGTCTAGGATGAACAGACAGTGCTCAGGGTGGTCGAATTTTACCTGATATCCGGAGGAGACTGCATGGCGCACAGAGAGGAGGTTGAACTTGACGTTAGGACAGTATAGGCCAAATGGCAAGGAGAGGAAGTGGGGTTCGGATTGATGGTCGGGACCCTTGGTGATGTTGCGCGATAAAACGGTCAAGTCCACGGGGTCGTAACCGAGAATGGGAAGTTGACCACCGTCCCCAATGGTAAGGGTCATAGAGCACGAGCGGAACATGGACAGGCGGAAGTAGGACTTGTGAGGCGTGCAAGAGGCAATGGTACCCGAGTCGATAATCCAGTCTTGAGAGAGTTGAGGACAAGAGTCAGACTTGTAGACGGTAGGAGCAGACGATTCATCGTAAGAGATTTTGAGACTGAAAGACCAGTCAACAAGACCGACGTGGAAGGCGAAGTGATCGTGAGTCGGGACAAGTCCAGCTCGCCATGCGTCAGCGGGGTTGGCCACCGGAGGTGTGTTGGGATCAAAGAATTCTTCCGCAGTGTCCTGTGACGAAGTGCGAGTATTGGCTTGAGCCCAGGGTGCACGAGGTGCGCGATGCGGTAGTGAGTTTTGGGTGGTTTGATGTGGTAGTTATTGGACTTGTCGTAGACGTGTTTGCGGAAAGCCTTGGCGACTAACGGCTGCATGTGTTGGACAGTAGGGTGGTAGAAGAAGCCTTCATTTTCTTCGAAAGCTCGGTCTTCGTCGCCACGATTCGGCCTTCCCGAGGGGAGGTGGAGCAAGTGGTTCATTGGAGTCGTTGTTAGAGTGGGAAGGGATGTGCCATGAGATGCCTACGGAGGAGTTCGTTTACTTCCACAAGCGTTTGGAGAAGTGGGCAGGACGAGTGTTGGGGATACTGTTGGCGTTGATGTGGACTGACAACGGAGAGATGGGACGAGGAGTAGGTTGAGACGTCATAGAAGACGAAGACGGAGGTTGGGAGGAGACGGGTTTGGAGAGATAGGTGGTAGAAGGAGAAGGAGTAGGTAAGCGAGCAGGAGATGTCCGAGAATGACTGGGCTTAGACGGAATAGATTTAGGACGTGGCTTGGTTGAAGAGTTCATGTGGGTGGTGGACGTGTTCGCTGAGTAGGGATGAGGAGAGCAACGCGCGGAGGAAGACTGCGGCATATAGTGAGAGGAAGTAGAGTTGGGAGGCCGCTTGGTTGAGGAAGCAGAGGTTGTCGTAGACGACAGGGGCAGTGGATGTGTCGCGGTTGTGAGAGCAGTGTTGGAAGTGTGATTTGGGGAGGCCCAAGTAGCATTGGATGGTAGAAGTGGTTTTGACGAGGGGGGGTTGATGCGGGATTGACCCGAAGAACGCATGGAGTGGGGTCGCCCCCGGAGGCACCAGCTGCTAGATTTCCATCAGGTAGTCGGAGACCACCTTCACGACCCGGAAGGGTCCTTTGCAACGCAACGTTATCTTTCCCGGATGCTGGCGATCCCGGCCCACCAAAACAAAGTCGCTCAACGCAAATTTCGCCAGCTTCATAGAACGTTGACCATCCCGACGGTTCCGGGCCTTAGCGCGCTTCGGCGCGGCCGTCTCTGCTACGTGCTTGTGCATAACGTCCAGAGTATCTGTAAGCTCAGTCTCTTGGCGTATCGTCCGGGACTTAATCCAGTCGATCGTTACCTCCCGGGGTTCGTCCGGGTGGACCAGTCCAGTCAGGGGAGGTGTACCAGGCAGGTCCGTAAACGCCGTCGTTGGCGCTTCGCCGTCCAAACGGTCGGCCGGCTGCTGAACTGTACCAGGGTAACACCCCCAGCCAGTCTCCGGGTTTCTAGCGCATCTCGCTGCACAGGGACTTCATTGTCCGGATGATGATCCGGTTCACCACCTCAACTGTCCCGCTGGCCGAGGGCCAGTGTGGCGTGACAAAATGGTGATGAACACCAAACATAAGACCCAGGGTACTGACCAGTTCGTTCTTAAAATGGGACCCGGAGTCGGATACCCAGGCCCTGACCACCCCGAACAGGCCAAACCATTCCATGAACGCCGCGGCCGTCTCTGCTGCAGAAGTACTTGCATGCAACCGAACGAACCCGCTCATGTCATCCTTGATGCCCATGACGTATTTCAGGTCTCCCGGATTCTCCGGGAGCGACAGCCAGTCGAAATGAATCAACTCATTTGGCTTCGTTGCATGCAGCCCTAGGATCCGTTCCGGGGCATGTGCCACGCCGTCTGCCGAAATCTCTTTCCCACACCATACAGTTCGGGTGGTGTAAAAAACACACTTCCCGGGGTGCAACTTCAGTCCGTACGCTTGGCAGATCTCAAGCACTTTACGCAAGAGGTGCAACAACTCGTCCATTGTCTGGGCATACCCCAACAAATCATCCAACCATCCGAGCAGTCCGTGCATCAGGAGGTCCCCAAATAGCTCGTCGACCACTCCTTGGCAATAGGCCACCGCATCGGTCTAGCCCATCAGGACCCGGGTCGGGGTCACAACCCCTACCGGAGTCATGAAGGAATAGTACTCCTGGGAGTCCGGGTGTAAGGACACCTACCAATACCCCTTTATTCAGTCCAGTTTGAAGTAGACTTTCGAGCTCTTCAGTACAACCATGACCACATCCAGATTAAGCATAGGCCACGGCATCGACACGGTACACGCATTGATCGGTCTCGAGTCAATCGTCATTCTGAGGTCTCCCGGAGCTTTCTTGGGGACAATCCTCGGGGCCTAGGCCCAGCGCAATCTAGTGTTGCGGTACACCAGACCCGCTTCTACCAGCTCCCGGACATGCTTTTCCAATAACGCCATATGGGTGGGAGGGTAGCGCCGCAGTTCCGACTTCTCCGGCAACCCCTTCCTTGAGGAGCATCAACGGTTCCACTTTGACCGGCGGGTCTTTCCCGAATTTCAGCCGGAACACGTCCCGGAGCTGCTCGACAGCTGCTATTGGCATGCCCGCGACAGACGCCTCTGCCACCTTGGCTTCCAGGACAATACGCACCGGACCATCGCCGTCAGGCGCATTTCCATGTTCTGGCGTTGCACACGCCATCCCTTCGTCGTCGTCGATACCGTCTGACAAGGCTCCCATCCACAGGGTACGGTGCATCGCGACTCCCGGAGTCGTGATCGTCTGCTCACCGAAATCCCATACGGCATCCTGCCAGCGTGCATTCTTCAGCAGTGTGTACTCATTGTAGCCCAGCTTCTGCATCACAGGCAGACCCAGCGTCAGCTCAACGGGTGCTACGGTTTCATCGACACAGACCAGGAGCCCTCGCAACATCAGCGGCCCACACGTGGTCTTGAATTCCAGGCTGCCCAGGCGAACTTGTTTCGTCACAGTAATCACTTGGCTGTCCGCCCCGTACGGTCGTAGTTCCATCGGACACATGACCGTATTCTCGGGGAGCTCCCGCAGCCAATAGCGCAGAAAACAGGCCTCCGGAGGCCATCAACAAATCAGCTCCTGAGTCCAGGAGTGATGCCTGCGCGGGAAGGACACCGACCACAATAGTCGGGAGCTCAGGCCGTTTCGCGTCCGGGACATCCGTCTCCTCCATCGCCACGCGGCCACCAGGTGCTCCCGGGGCTTCTTTCTCGCCGCTCCGACCACGTTCGAACGTACTTCCGTGCGCTCTTAGCAGTTGCTTGATCACTTCGGGGGTGATCCCAGGACATTCCCGGATCTGATGGCTGATCGACTTACACTCAGTCAACCGTTGGTCGGTGCGTTCGGAACAGGTGGCAGGGGCTTCGCGTTTCCCCTCGGAACCCTGGGTCATCGCAGGATCTTCGACCCGGGCGTCGTTGGTGGATCTGGTCTCACAGGTGGCTTCAACGCTTCATCCTAACCCACAAAACGCTCGTTAGTCCTGTCGGTCCCGACGGATAGCCGCAACCAAACCATCCAGCATACGTCCGATCGGGGAATCCGCGTCCGGGATGGACATATCAAAAATAACAGCAGATTTAATCCGCTTCTTCAGAGTGACCAGGGCCCGTGGATTCACCTCGTAACCTTGCGCCCGCAAATACGTCACCGGTATCCTTTCCCATGTCCCATTCGGCAATAGTTGCTTCGTCGCAGGATCGATAAACGCCCTCACCGGCATGATGAACGGTCGGATCCCGATGACAGTCAGGGCATTCATCTGGCTGATATACAAGTTGTACGCGTCCATAAAAACGTGTCGTTCTTCCTTGGTGGGTCCCTTGAACGTCGGGTTCTTCGGGAGGGCCGGGTCGTTGTGCAGGTGCACGTCGCTCTGTCCCATATCCATATCTTCCTTCTCCGGCGCAAGTCCGGGAGTCGTCCCGGATATATACCGCCAAACTCGGGGGCCGCAAACGTTGCCGGTCACGTGTAGCTCCATGCCTCATCAAACGCCACCGGTTGTCGCCTTCCATGTGGTGAGTGAACCAGCCGCCGCGCAGTCGCACTTCTCGGGAGCCTTCCACGGTCTACAAAGCAGTCCACGCTCGGTGCACGGGCCATAGGACTAGTCGAGCGATCCGACCAGGATCGGGCTCCGACAGATTCCCCGTGGGCGCTACCAGGTAGCTACACGTCCAAGACATGCTCGTTTCCTGTTCCAGGAAACTTTATGCGTTCAGTCGCTAGCGTGTCTATAAGACAGCTAAAGAATTATTTGTTGTCTTGCGCCGATGTTTGCAACCGTCGACTACCGTGTTCACAACGGTGACCTCGATGACAAATCCAAAAGTAACTTCATTATCCAGTCAATCAGTCAGTTCCCTCCTTTCACTTCACTACTCACTATCAGTTATGCATCGGTATACAGTGTACCATCAGCTCGGAACATATGATCCAGGCATACTTCACACTCCTCAAATGTCGTACTGTTCCCGACCAACATTCGGCTACCCACACTGAGACACGGGGAGTTGAACAGAGGATCGCCCTATAACATTAGTACAAAGTACTACAGTACTTCACATCATGCCGTATAGCTACTAGTACAATGAGATTGTTGCATTCTACATTTACTCCGTACTTGGGGAAGGGGACATCGATGAAGCACTTGGTCTAAGAGAGAACTTGGTTGTGCTACTGCGGTTGCGAGGTATCACGGATTTCGTTGTAAATTATGGTCTGTATGTGGATTTCAAGGGAGTTGAAAGTAAATCTGCAACTACACATCAGATGTGCTGTCATTTTGCTTCTTCCATAGTGTAGCTACGATACCTACATATATGTATATCGAATCTTCGTGATGTAGGAACACGCCGCTGCGCTAGTGTGCTGGCAGAAATTAGGGATGGCACTTCGCGCATGAAATATCACTTACCTCGAAAGAAATGAAATGGATACACAACGACGTGCCCCACGAAATGCCTGACACCTCGGAACCCCGGCGCTCTGGAACCTACAGTACAAAAGTTATGTCGGAGTGCAGTCTTCATTTTCAGGGGTTTGGCGCATCACCAGCGATTTGCTATCGCTAACCGCGGGCAATGCGCCAAACCCATCACGAATAACAGAAGCAGGCATACCTCCGCTAAGCTGCGAAATGCCGCGGACCCCAACGCAGATGCAGAAAACGTTCAAGGTGCGACGAACTCTTAGTTATAGTGGCCGCCTCCAATGTGAATTAGAAACTGTTGCAAATCGACTTCGCGTAGCGAGTTGATCCCGTTACTGTAGTGTTGCACTAAGAAAACCACGTTACTGTTGCGAGCACATTCTCCGGACACGACCGCCGCAAGTAACCCTACACCCACAGTTCTTGGCAAAATTTTAATCAAATAAAAATTGTGAAAAGTGTTCCTGCACCCACGGCTTTCGGTAAAAAATTGATCGCGCAACACATTCGTGTTGAGTGCAATGAAAATAGTCGAATGTACCTGCGGGAATGTCGTTGAAAAGTGCGGTATAAGAAGTAGAGGTACAGTATGTTGTACCTGCCAGAGAGTACCGGTACCTATGATAGACATTCGCGTTTGGTTCAGATAATTGAATTAGTGTTGCACTGAGAAAATCCGGTTAACAGATAATTTACACCATTGAGTTGACCCTCAAAGGTACATTTTGACCGTTCAGGTTTGGACGAATATATGATCTTGATTAAATTATGCTGGATTATATTGACCTCAATTTTCATCTTGATTTAACTATGCAATATTATCTTGACCTAGATTTTTATCTTGATTACAATATGTGACAATATTGAGGCTCCGGACAGACAATTAATCTCGTGGGGCTGGTATAGCTTACTATTAGCGTAAATCCTACCAGTATTAACTCCTCAGAGTAAACAGAAATCGTTTCATTAACAAAGCTACTGAACCTCGTAACACACATTTGATGTGAGATTCCAGGCGAAATTTCACACTACTACTCTCTTCAAGTTCAACATCTATGACAGCTGTACAGTTCACGTTTTTGACGTCTACCAGAAATGTTCGGCCTTACATGTATACGTTGCTAAAGGTATCTATTATACTTCTACATAGTACTTGTAGTATGTATGAGATGGGTCCGTGGCACTTTTTGGGACTCTTCGATGGAGGGGTTCCTTTACTCCAAATTGCTAATACAATAGGGTTTGTTAAAGAGGAGAACTAGTCCAGTTCGTAGGACTTAAAATCATGTCATTAGTTTTGATGGAAAATAGACTAAAAATGTGAAAATATCCATAGGCTGAAAAACAGGAAGATGTGGGAACAGGACACAAACACATCACTATGACGAATTCAAGGTCCTTGATTCCTTCATATCATAGTGTGCCATTGTCGAGGGGATACATGCGTCTTCATTCAAGTTGTCACGTGCGAGTCAACCAGGAACTGAATCTGACACTTCAACGGAGTCAAATGGCGTGTACATGTGCGCGCGACAGTTACGTATTATTATTGCTTGAACATCTTTATATTGATATTTTTATGATGATGGATATTTAATGGGAAATACCTATAAAGATGTAGCATCGGCAAAAATAATGAAATATCTGGCTGGCTATGGATCCCCTTGGTGTAAAATTCAACTCTACTGTTCTGTGTAACAACTGTGCAAGAATTCACGTATCCGGTTGTTTATCCGGCGTTATTCAAATTCCCCGAGAATGTAGTTTTGGACGTCCAGCAGGGGTCAGTCACCCCCTGCTGCCGGGGAATTCCTCGCATAGAGTACAATTAATCATTACAGTACAGTACAGTAAACGACGAAATTTGACACTGTACAGTATACAGTACAGTACAAGATACTAATACAGTACTACAGTACCGTACTAAGTACTGTAGTAGTACTACTGAGTACTCCGGAGTAGGTTCAGTAAAGCAGACTGGTACTCCGGAGTACTATAATAGTACTGGGTAATGTAGTACTATTAATAGTACATACATTATTAATACCATGTATTGTTCCAGTAAATGGATGTACCGATTGCAGTGTGGCTCAGTAAACAGTAGAGTAATCGGAGTACTAGTAGTTCTAGTACTTGTAGTACTGTACTCCATTCGATGAGAACGTAAACAATCATTGATTTGCCGAACATCTTGCCCAATAGAATGTCAAAATTTGATATGATTGGATAAAACTATTTTAAGGAGGAGTGAAACCCTTGTTGGTTAGTTAATAGACAGATTTCTCAAACGCCAGTTCTATTCTATCCGCAACCTAAAATTTAGAACTCCGATAGGTTGCAACCTTGTGCAGTGCGAATTTCGCAAATCTTCCGCTGCAAATTGGTTTTATCCAGAAAACGTTATCCAATCAAACGTGGTTATTATTCTTGGCCATCATCACTCAATAATTATGCTGGCTGGAGTCCCTCGGTAAATGACACTTCCAACGCATACAAAGGAGAGAATTGTACGCCTACAGTCGGATTGGAGCTTACTAGTTGGATTCTCGCCCAGCATCAATGAAGCGTTACCATCCTACCCACTTGCAGCATCATTGCTAATCTGGTTTCGGGTTTCGCCCGCGAGGTCGACGAAAGACTTCACGTCATTCTCGTGCCGAGACAAAATAGTGAGGTCCTTCGAGAGTACTGTATGTGAGGACGCCGTGTTCAGAGCGACGTTCTTCTACCACATATGACATACTCATGAAACTCTAATGCGATTCACCTCGCCATCCCGGGCTGTCGCCATGGATGGTACCGGTATGATCAAAACACAAGCGCATCCAAGGTTATACAAGAAAACCCACCATTTATGCGGATACAGCAAATGGGGAATCCGCTGCAAAATTGGCAAATTTTACAGCGGCTTTCATTATTTATAACAGGTTCAGTTTTATCCTTATCGAATTTGAGAGGATAGGTTGCGGATAAAATAGAACTGACGTTTGCGAAATCTGTTTAATATTACTAGAGGAATTATAGAATTTCAGCCTTATTCAGAGGTTACAGTAGTACTAGTACTGTACGTTGACCTATGATACTTACACATAAACGAATAGTAACTGTATAAATAGATATTTGTATTGTTTGCTTGAGATATCACCAGTACTTTACTGTTAATCAAATCTATATTTCGGCAAATCAATGATTCACTGTCTGGAGGGTCATCTTTACAATTATATTACTTCAATTCCAAATATTAATTGCCTTCTAACTGAATCGAGCTAACTGTAAAGATTATCCATCCAAAAATGTACTTAAGTATGTATCAAGTGAGGATTCGAAAAAACAACTGAAATATTCGAAAATGAAAATGAAGCAAAATCGGCACATGAATGGTCGGCCACGTTAGTAACACTACTGTAGTACTACCTCCGTATGGAATGGGTTTAGTTTCGAATATTTCAATTGCTTTTTCGTTTTGTACTATCCTCTATTTTACCCACCAGCGTTACGGCTTCTACGATTCGTTGCACAGTCCCCGCCCGACCGTCCTGGGGACCTTGCAACGCTTTGTCGATACCTTGGAGGGGTGTCAAGGTCAATTAACAGTCGACGAGACCATCGAGGGGTATTTATTAATTCGCATCATTTTATAGAAGTGCTTCCAACCATATGCTCAAGAATAACCTGCCCAAATTTGATGGTAAGAAATATGAATGATACGAGTATTATGTCATTACAGGTGGCCCATCTACGATATCCGTAAGAATGATTTGGTCGTCGTCGCTTTCTTCATCGTCGCTTGATTCGTCCTCGCCTAGTGCAGGCTCATTTGCAGCCTCGTCGGCGGCTTCCAGTTCGAGCAGGTACGTATTGAGATCCTTTGTGTGGCTGATACAACGGTAGATCACATCGCTTGGGAGCTCACTGAAGGCCAAGTCCAGGCGCTGCTGCACAGCTTCCATGGTCGTCGCCGTCGTGTATTGTCGCCCAAACGCCACCCTTCAGGTAGGCCCACACGTACTCAATTGGCTGCAGGTCTGAATGGTATGGAGGCGTGTAGACAACTTCAAAGTTTCGCGCTCTTGCCATCGCCACGACCTCAGGTAGTACGTTCTATCGTACATGTGTTTGTACCTTGGACCAAATCACTGATCGGTACTCATTCGAGGACGCTTCTATTCCGAAGCACTGGCAGGCCGCCAGCAAGTCTTGCTTCTTCCACGTTCTATTGGGCGTGTTGTGTAGGACGCCTTTGTGATACGAGGCGTTGTCCATGGCGATGACGGCGCCAGACTTGCCAAGTACGTCCAGTTCATCCATCAATTCCTTCATCCAGTTGACGAAGTAGGCATGGTTAAATATGCCGTGATAGTCCTTGGTTTGCCGCGAACCACCACGGAACAACACCCTTGTCGCGAGCAGCTTGGATCCGTCAGGGTCGTCGTCGAGAATTCCGGCGATGAAGCATAGCCGCTGCCCTTTGTGCTTGGGCTTGGGTGCCTGGTCAAGCTCGTCCTCGGGGTAGTACAGGCTATCGTTGTGCCGGGCATAGTTGTGGTGGATGTACGATTCGTCCATATATATAACAGGTCGATGAGGTGTTAATTCAATCGGACATATATTTAATGTAATTATCTCTAGCAATAACAACTTTACAATGAGTCGCAGCACTGCTTTTGTCTTTGGAACTCGAGATGTATGAGTAGAATTGTTAGCAGGTAGTTGTTTGATACTTTTGTATCTCTATACTGCTTCCATACCTCATGAACGACCTTTTTACTACGTCCGAGGATTGATGCAATGTGTTCGGATGCGGAATCAACGTTTTCACGTCGAAAGTGTGCGTGCAACCGAAGTATGTCCAGCCGTTCTTCTTTTTTTAGTGCTCGTGGTCGCTCACTCTTCACGTACGACATGATCTCGTCGTCTGTGATGGTCGAGTTGCGAGGCATGTCAAAGTGAAACTGGTGGTGTGCACCATATATGCGATTATCCGGATGTATTGGCGACGAGAGGTTCGGCAATGAATGGTGAGGTGAAACTCTACACATACCATAGTATTAGTTTTGTCAATATATTAGATTTGATGTGTAAATCTGAACCTGAAGTGTAATATTTTTCAATGCAAACTCGAAGGGAATTGAGTTTCAAGTGAAATTAGCAGTAGAGGCGGAATCGCCGTGAAAAACTGCATCGGGGTGACTTTGCATAGATGTAGATGTTACACGAGAAAACAACCAGAAAGCCCATAAAAATACCTAGATATTGCATGCGAGAAAATAATAAGGACTAGAAAAAGGACGCATTGATTTCATTCCTAAGCAGACATTCGCTTCATCCTCCTGCAAGTCTCGAATTCTACAATACAACAGTAGTGTCGATGGAAGATAAAACGCACAAGTTGTTTGCGTCGTCGTGCACCACATTGTAGTAATACCGTTAACGTTAGAAGTAAATGATGAACACACGAGAAGACTGCGCCCAAAGCATAATCGGTATACAATAGTTTACATGGGGTGGGAAGGGAACACCATAGTCAAATATGGACACTAATTTGACGTATGTTATGTGTGGATAGCATGGCGAATACGACAACTCCATCCGGCATTGCTGTGATTGGCTCATATGACAATGCCGACAACGCCCTGATTGGTCAATCAAAAGGAATATTGGATACCTTTGCCATCCAAGAAGTAGAGGGGATACCCCCTCTACTTACATTGGTCCGCCAGGTTTCCCTATTGGACATGAACCTCGCAAAATAAGGGTATCGGTCATTGCAATTGGTCCCGAGTTCTATCCCCTGCAAGCGCGAAATTAAGCGCATGCAATACATAATATGAAAATGTTTTACATGGTACAACTACGTTTTCTAAGTCTGACCTCTCGGAGAATTCTAGCATACGACGCAGTAAAGCCCGTATACGCAGCTTCAAATTGATCAAACGTTTGGAACTTGATGAAAGCCATGGCCAACATCAGCCGCTCAGAGTACTTCTTCCTGTCAAGTTTAATCATGTCCTTGGTGTAGTCTTTCAGCGCGCACACCAAGCCAATGTTTGGGCCAGCAACAAACCATTGTTGCGACGCCTCACGTGCCGAGTGAGCAGTTGGGATTGACTTTCGTGCAACATACCTGTCCATTGACCGTTGTGTTCTCACTTTCGTAGGAACATGTCTGCCCACAGTGTGCTCTTGCAAGGACGCCTGCCCAACAGCATCCACGGAACGGCAAGCCGACAGCGTCGAATGCTGAAACTTGGAGGTACGAAGCAGGTTGCGAGGATCGATGTCATTGCTAATGCTCTGAGTCACGAGGTACTTACAACAGGTATTTGCGTCCATCCAACGACACCACAACGAAAATGAAGCGGCGCTCCCTTGATTCGAACACACGGTAAAACGACCCCAACGGCGAAGGCTATGCAGTGATATTCTAATGGGTAGGTCGGGCGTTGCATCCACCAGGTCACCCAACGACTTGCGCAAATTGGCTTGCTCCAGGCCACGGTACCACTCAACCTTTGGCACCCCATTGTGCTGCATTACGACATTTGGAAACACAAAGGCGGTGTTTGTCAAGTTCACACAGCAAGCCTGCAGCTTGGCAGTATAGTCGTCGTGGAAGCCACACACCAGAAGGCATGGGAACGAAGATTCGTCAAAGTAGTACACTTGACGGTCTTCCTCGACGCCAGCCTTCTTGTGCCGTCGCAGTCGTACGGATAGGTACCTTCCGTTTGAATCCGACACGATTTGCACATCATTCCACCGTAGGGCAAGTACTCCACTCATGCGGAAGCAACCGAGAAAGAGAAATCGCCGCATAGAGCCCAAGAACGGGTGCAGACTGGCCAATGCGTTGACAACTGTTGAGAGCTCCTGCGCGGTGAGTGGGTGGGTCTTCTTTTCCTCGTCCACATTGTTCTGCTTGTTGTACTTCGGGAGGCCAACGATGTAGTGGCGCACGGCTGTGTCCAGTGCTGGGTCGGCGCCATTCGTCTGGCGTTGAAGTAGGTAACAAGGGCTGACTTGGCCAAGTCGATGGTCCTCGCCTTCTTGCCCTGGCTGTACAGGTAGTGAAAGAAGTCTGTACACTCCTCAGTCCCAGCCGTGGTAGGGTCAATGCCGCCTTTCTGTGTTTGCAGAAGCATCTCGAATTGTTTTTGATACGTGGTGTAGGCGCGTTGAGTAGATGCCCCGTGAAAAGATTCATGGATTGCCTCCTTCGATGGGACCGTCGGCTGCCGCCTTGGAGTCATGTTGTTAATGGTAGATACGAAACCTCCTTCTTTTGGATTATAGCCAATTAAATCTTGTTATTGCATTATGTCGATGATATGTGTCTAGACGACAGACACATCGACCAATAGGATAGTTTCCAACGCAGGTCCCTATCCCAACTCTATATCTCAAAACGACGTTTCTTCCAATTACAGATCATTCTCTTGTCGGTCATAAAATACGCTAGAAAATGTCGGTTCGATGTCGGTTGCTACCTACTACGTAGTACTTCGAAGTATATGTATGGATAACTTGGCGTCAGCTAAAGATGATATAAAAAAAACAATAATACGACAATTCTATCCGACATTAGTCTTATTGGTTAAAAGTTCAATACTTCGTACCTTTCATTGGTAGATGACTCTTCATTTTAAATACAAAGACCAAATGTCGTATGTTGGTTTTTATACAAGTCTCTGACGAGGTGAGGACATGAACCGTGAGGAGCAGACTCTGCACGCAATACACGTGGCACACGGCGTGGCTCCGGGTACCACGTGTAATGCGCGCAGAGGCTGCAACGTGGATTCGCACCCTAAAGTTACGTTTGCGGTTCTTGCTGTGTCCCATGGAGGCATGGGGACAGAAACCCTGTCACCTCCAGCGTTGTTGCAATCGCTTGCATTTCCAATGAGGAATCTAGAAAGGGTACAGTTAAAAGACACCATAATGAAGATACGCGGTACGTTGGACAAAAAAGAGCGTGGCGTGGTCGACGTGCTCTTGGGTCGCGTCACCAATTTCGAGTTATTGACGTGACCCCTCGGTTTAGTGGTCACACCAACATCAGTGTGCTGCAGTGTACTGATAATTCCTGAGTTTACCATCGGCACACGTCCCAACTGTGGCACGGCCATTTCGCCTGGTGACTGCACAGTACATCAACGTGATCACAGTGTCGGGGATGACAGGATGGCGAGCTTAAGTGGTGTCGGCTCAGCGATGAATAGCCCCGAGTGATGTAGAGTTTCACTAGCAAGGTCGATAAGTATGTCGTATGTACTGTCCAACATAACTCCGATTTGCGATTTGGTGTGTCAGTGAAGTTGTTACTAAAGAGGTTGTTTAACCCAACCACAGGAACTGACAAACTGCTTCGTGCCCCAGTCCAGTGGCCCTGGCAACACCGCGTTCCTACGGATTCACAGAGGTGAACATGCCTTGTGGGTCGGTGGACGATGTCAATACAACGACCAAGTAAAGTATCTTGGATTTTTGGAATGCATCGACGTACAGAGTCCTGTTTGCTGGCGAGGGGGCTAACTATAAAGGTACACGTACACGTACTATTATAGTACGTTCTATATTACGAGGAGGAATTACCTTGGTTAACGTTACTTTGCGCAACACAAGCCACTCATCAGGCATGCTTACCTCGTTCCTTGCTCGCCAACGATACCGAAGTACATTAAGACTCCGTGGACATCGTAGCGAGCGTGACCATTCACTGTAAAGAACCCTACCGATGGAGTACATCTGCACTTCTAGATTTACATTGATAACTCACTGGTGCACGAGTTTGACACCGTAGAATAAGTTTGTGAGCTCTTAATTACTTCCCATCGCCTCAATCAACTCTGTGGTGAGTGTTTTGTGATACCTGTGAGGTCGCTCGCAACAATATAAGTGAACTTAGTAGTTGTAGTATTGAAAATATGATTAATTAGTGTTGTGGTGGAAGGGGGCACATATTGAAGGGAGGTCGCAGTTAGTGTTATAAGCATCCCCACAGTGCAGATGCTAGCAGTAGGGATGCTTGTAAACACTGTGTGCTAACGAGTACGGTGGTTCACGTTGCGAAAGTAAGTGGATATGCAGAGCTGGAGAACGTGGTTAGTGTCGTTTGTTGAATGAGGGACAATTGGAATCACTACTGGAGGTAAGGTGATGTTGGCGTAGCTACAGTAATGTTCAATCAGGACCTACTTAAACGCAACCCATTACTCTTAGCCGCATTCGTACGTTTTAAAAGTCGCAAACGTTATTGTGTGGAATGGGCTACAAAAGGGATCCCACCATTGGTCCCCATGCATCATGGTGGGGCTCCGGCTGACTGCCACCGACCACAACAGTACTCCTGCTGGTTCGACTTGCCGTTTTATTTATGCTGATCAACACCATTTCGTGTCTCGGCAGTATTTCAACCAAGAGAAAGAAAGCCGTACATGCTAAATGTTAATGTTAGTGATATGTTGCTGTTGCGACAACCACCTCGTCCAATCGAATTGTCGCAAAAGATACTGACCAATCCGAATACAATCATTTGTGGGTCATCCAATCACGGGGCCGAATTTTGTCGGTTTTGTGTCGTGTCTGTCTTATATGTACATTAACCAGAAAAAGCAAGGTGAAATAAGCAATTTTGTATGGAGCGCAAGGTGAACACCTTGCGAATTCCATAAATAATTCTGAAATTGTATAGTTTCAATTAAATATATCTTCACGTTTGTATTGATGATTTTTATTTTTCATGTGTCTGTCTCTTTTTGGAATTCGCAAGGCAGGTCACCTTGCAAATTCAAAATTATCCAATTTTGTCCAATCAGATGCGGCGAAATGACGAAAATCGCTGCGTAGATTCATCACGCCCTGTTGCGCTATATTTTACTCCTGTGATGGCGGTTGATGCAAGGAGCCTTGAGATAATTGTAAGCTGTGTATGAGAGCAAGATCATGTGATGTGGTATTCAGGACTCTGTCGATTCCAACAGGTCTCATTTCACCACTTGCCTACTAACCCAATGAAATTGGTCATCCCTCATTCCACCATCCAGCCCATGTCGGTGCCGTACACCTCCCTGCCGGTGTGATCACGTGGTTGCACGGGAGGTGGCGCAAGACGTCTTGGTGGCACCCATCGAAAGTGCTGAAGTGGCGGCTTTAGCACTTTGCGTTTGCGATGGGTGCTACCAAGACCTCTTGCGCCACCGCGTTGGCCCGCCAGACCCACCACGACATTGCGACCCAACCGAGCGCACAACATAATGTAAGCTGTAAGGGGAGAACCACATTGGACATTGTCGGAGTGCACTCATCAGTGCACAATTCTCTGGAGCAGCATCACACAAAGCTCTACAAAATTCAAAGTTCAAAATTGTAATCTCTTCTGACAGTGTTATAGCCAATCGTGTGTAAGAAACAAGGTATGATGGACTCTGATTGGATATTAAAAAGGAGCAAGGTGGCTCACCTTGCGAATTCCATTAAAAAGTCAATAAAAAATTCCCAAAATAGCTACAGTGATGGAAGAATGGTCAAGACACACCCCAATTTAGACTTTACTCGCGTCTTTGTGCGCTGTTCAGCTCTAAAAATAGCTCTGTCGCAGCGTCAACATCTGTTGACAAGAACAGTACGAGCCGGTTGCTGTTTTGCCGCATTGCGAGGTAGAGACGGTGGCTAAGCTTTTCTAGTATGGAAGTCAGGATATGACATTTCAGTTAACGTCCTCTAGAGGACGCAATAATGCTTATAATCACCTTCGATTTGAACCACTTCATCTAAACAGCTCTACACAACACCTCGCGTACGTCAAATGGGCCATGGACCTCAACGAGTTTCAGCGCGGTCAAATTGTCGTGTGGAAGTCCAACGGCGAAACAGTGATATTCATGTCCAAGAGCCATGGCGTTTCCCGCACGGCCATTTCCAACTACCTCAAGGACCGTGACAACTATGGCAAGCGTTATGGGCACGGGAGGAAGTCGAAATTGACAGTAAATGACAATCGCCACATTTTTAGGGCCGCAAGTAAGCCAGGTGCATCGTCCAAATCGATTGTTCAAGATCTTCAATTGCCTGTGTCGTCTCGCTACGTACGCTATATGCTACAATCAAGCATTGGGTTCGAATACGTCAAACGTAACGTCACTCCCAAGCTGACAGATGACCACATTCGCGCCCGCCTTGCCCATGCCAAAAGGCACCTTGAATCACCCCCCAACTGGTCGACCATTATATGGTAGGATAAGAAGAAATGTAACATTGATGGCCCAGACGGTATGCAGTCGTACTGGCGTAGCATTCGCCACGAGAAAGAAACGTACTTCTCGCGCAAATTTGGAGGAAGAAGTATGATGGTCTGGGGGGCGTTTTCCAGCGACGAGCGAGCGAGCTTGCGTTCTTGGAAGGCAACCAAGACTCAGACAAGTACATCTGGACGCTTCAAGACTATCGCTTCCCCTTTGCTCACTGTCTCTACGGTGATGAAATCAACTTCATGCAAGATGGCGCGTCTATCCATCGGTCGAAGAAGACGATGGATTTTTTGAGCATCCAGTCCTGTCTCCGGATCTCAGCCCGATCGAAAACCTTTGGGGAATGCTTATGCGCGGTGTCTACCATGGTGGCAAGCAATACCATAGCGTGGAAGACTTGACTGCCTCGATCAAGGTGTAGTGGGCAAAGCTGGACGTATGGGTCATGAAACGACTGGTCGAGTCGATGCCACGACGTTGTGTAGCTGTCGTAGAGGCCTATGGTGCAATGACACCTTATTAGGGTGTGTTGCTGCAAGCTTAAGTCTTCAAAATTCATTCTTTGTGAAATGTCCTATTTTGAATACCAGGTTTGACACTAAGAATTTTTATATAGCTGGAAGTCATCGTCATTTCTACCGCAAATGAGTATGCATATCCTCTTTAACCTGTTTGTTGGGGCCAATTCCAAAATCACAGAGCCTCACTTCATTTCCTTCGGTATGAACGAAAGTAATTATCTTGTGTCTTAACCTTTCTTGTTCGAGTTAGACCCTCTCAGAAGCAATATATTTTGATTCGCAGAACAAATACATTCTCAAAAGCTTTCCTTGGTTGGACAATAACCATAATACAGAATTCGTAAGGTGAAACAGTAGGTTTTAGTAGGCTCGCAAGGTGAGCTGCCTTACGAATTCCATAAATCGATCTGAAATAGTTCAAATTTTATTGATTGAAGCTTCATCTTTGTATGGAATAATTTAAATTCCTCTAAACACATCTTTTTGATGAATTCGTAAGGCAGGCTGCCTTACCAAATTTCTGTCCAATTATATGATAGAAAAGTGAAAATAACTGGCCAATAGGATCGTTCTATTCTCTTTGCTTAGCTGTAGGCTGCCGCTATTGGACTACAGTACTACCGGTAGAATGCGATCCCTTGCTCCTATCCGCACGCTTGAGCCTGGGCGATGGTCATGCAGTATGACTTGGTCCTCGTCTTGTCGCAGCATAGGTAGTGGTTGTTCTTGGCGTAGTGGGCGCTCTGGTGGAAGTGCTGGGCTCGGGTGCCGTCGCACATGCCCCCGAACTTGGTCGTCTTACTAGTTTTGCATCTTGGCATACACCAAGTAATCATATGGGCCAAGCTCGTCAACTACTGGTACTGTAAATAGGTTGTTTACAGCAATTTACTCGTTGATCCCGAAACCCCGAAACGTCGCGGGCAAACGACTTGATTTGGTCAAACTTCTGGTGACTATGCCCCGATAATATGATT